ATTACTTGGTTGTACAATTGCAAGTCGTTTAACAGCATCAGTCAAGAAAGCCTTATCTATGGAGGATGTGCCCACTTATTTTTGGAGTGATTCGACCACTGCCATCGCATGGATTCGGCGTAACGACGAGTGGGGTACTTTTGTTGGGAACAGAGTCAAGGAGATTTGCACCTTAAGTCAGCCGAAGCAGTGGTCCCATGTTCCAGGTGGAATTAACCCTGCAGATTTGCTGTCGCGTGGTTGTTCGCCGTCGAAATTAGTGGAATCTCGTTGGTGGGAGGGACCAGATTGGCTTAAGGGTCCGGCTGAAAATTGGCCAGCGCATACCGAAAAGCTGGATGAAAATGCAATCAATTTTGAAAAGAAGAAGGCTTTTATGAGTTCCGTGGAGACAGTCGATGCATGGTATGTGAAGCGTTATTCAAGCTATATGAAGAATATTCGCCACATTGCCTACCTCCTTCGATTTGGCGACAAATGCAGAAAAAGGAGCAGTGAAAATGGAAAACTAACGAAGGAGGAAATAAATCGTGCCGAAGTGACCTTGGTGCAGTTGGTGCAACGAGAAGAATTTCCAATGGATCAGAAAGTAATTTGTGGACTCCGTGTGGTCAAGAATATTGATGGAATTCTCTGCGTGAAGACCAAGCTGCTGAATAGGATGGATTCAGAACACTTCCGGTTGCCGATTTTAATGCCAAATGATCATCCCATGGTGGAGCAACTTATTAGATGGAGTCATGCTATCAACGGGCATGCTGGGGTCCAGTTTCTTATGGGATCGCTCAGAGAGAGTTTTTGGATTATTCAAGCAAGGAAAGCAATTAGAAGAGTTATTGGGAAGTGCGTGACGTGTCGCCGTTTTACTGCCAAATCGGGAAATGTGACGGAGGCAGCATTGCCAGAAAATCGTGTGAAGACCGCAGCAGTTTTTCAAATCACGGGAGTGGATTTAGCAGGTCCGCTCACTCTGACCGACGGGTCGAAGACTTGGTTCGTGATTTTTACGTGTGCAGTCTACCGTGCAATCCATCTGGAGTTGGTGACATCGATCAGCACTGATTCGTTTTTGTTGGCGTTGTTTCGCTTCGTGAGTAGACGTGGTCGACCCACCACAATCTACAGCGACAACGGGACGAACTTTGTCGGAGCGGACAATTTGTTCCGAAAATTGGATTGGAAGAGGATTGAAGCCGAATCCCAAGTTCAAAGGATTCAGTGGCTGTTCAACCCCCCTACAGCAAGCTGGTGGGGAGGATTTTGGGAGCGGCTGATCAGAAATGTTAAAGATTTATTGAAACGTGTCCTGGGTCATAAGAAATTGAACTACGATCAGCTTCTCACATGTCTTTGCGAAGTGGAAGCTGTCGTGAACGGAAGACCCTTAACCTTTGTAAATGAGGACCAAGACGACCTCATCCCACTAACACCGGCTATGTTTATTCAAGATATAACTGTGACGGAATTTCCGGAAGTAGCGGTTTTGGATGGGAGTGGTCTGAGGAGGCAGTATGAAAAACTGAAGACGTTGCGAGTGCAACTGCGAAATCGTTTCCGAAAGGAATATCTTGCACTTTTGGTCCATAAGGGCAAGATGAAGAAAGAGCATAAGTTGGAAGTTGGAGATCTTGTTCTCATCGGTGCGGATAATAAGAAGCGTTTGGACTGGCCAATGGGAAGAATTGTGGACTTCCTCGGAAAGGATCAAGCCCGCGTGGCGAAAGTTAAGACGATGGGAGGAATGTTCCTGCGACCCATTCAACGTCTTTATCCATTGGAGATCTCATCATCGAAGGAATTGCCAGCAGTGACACCAGAGGTCACGAAGACTGCCAGATTGGACAAGGAGTCTGCGGTGCAAAAGTTGAAAGAAACTGAGCCGGGGATAGCTACCCGATTTGGACGTAAAGTGAGAAGACCAGTGAATTAAAGTGTCAAAAGTTAAAGTTATAATTCATGTATTTGTATAAAATTATCTGGTTTTCTTTTGTTCGTTTCCTCACGAAAGAAAAGGTGGAGGATGTAGAATTTAGTATAAGGTTTCATAAGTAATGATATTTTGTAGTTGTATGAAAATGCCTTTATTTCTTTGTATTGTAATTGAGTGTCTCATAACCTCGTGATTTTGAGTTTTCCGGTTCTCTTGGGCTTGGGCCACTATTTTTTCTGTTGCTGTGTGAGTGAATAATTGTATGGATTATTCTTGGGTTTGAGTTGGTCATGAGAAGTCATGTAAAATTAATGTTCCAACGAATTAATTGATTCTAATTAAATAAAGTGGTTTAGTAAATGTAATTGGCTTTACTAGTTCCAGCTTTGATTTTAAAGTAAAGAATCGCAAGAATCATAAGTCACGAGAAGAGTTTTAAAGTCATACACCGCATTCCACTCGGCAATTTTTAAGTGAGGACTTATCTACGGGTAGTAGGTCTGCTCCCTCAACACATGTTGTCTCATCCATTTATCGCCGTCGCATCTCATCTCATCTGATCTCATGATGAGACGAGATTGTTTCATCTCACCGGCCACTAGTGACAAATCATTTCTACAATTGGTACCATGTGACAGAGTGTCATCTATTTATGGGTGGTAATAGCTTTCCTCGGTTAATTTAAGTAACACATCAATAAATTTACGTACCCATCATATTCCACTCCAGGTGCAAGGATTGTGGTTTCATTTAAAATAACCGCAGTCGCCGGTAGGGGTTCTTTATTTTTAAAGACGATTACAACGGATGCAGAGGAATATCTGGTCACATTAATCTCTCTCTGCCCCACCAACCTCCAATCGTCATATGGAAAGTATTCTATGTCATGGATATCCGCGATGAAGCTAGTTTCACGAACGGTCGCATCTGAAAATGAATTATTTATAACAACAATTATGTAGTTAACATTTCAAAACCGCCACGTGACGGTTTTCCTTTACTCTCTCCTTTCCCCACATTCCACTCATTGGCATCCCGGTGTGAAGTCACCATAAAATTCTTCCCGTCCTGACGAAGAACGAAGTTCGAAACGTCGACACACCCCCTTTGGCCCTAATCCGAACATCAACTACTAGCTACGTACAGTGAGTATCCTCCTCCTCCTCCTAATTATTATTATCCTCACTCGCACAATCTTCCTCATTTCAAAACAAGGAGACTAAATTGTCAATAAATTGTCACACTTCACAAGAACTTGTCTAATCATAAGTCTTACATATTAATCTAGTGGGGGAACTATGTACAACTTCCATAGTCAAAATTTTCAAAGGACAAGAAATTTGAATTTCGTGGAAACAAATGCAAACCACTTAGAAACAAATAATTCTTACATAATGCGGTAGTTAGGTACAAACTGAAGAAAATCAATTAACCATTTGAAACCGTATTATTCAAAAATGATTTATTGAAGGGCCGCTCGCAAATTATGTAACGAAAAAATTGATATTTATTTTCCTCTGCCATCCATCCATACACCCTTGTAACGTAGTTAAGCACATTCTTAACATCTGGTGTCAATTAGAGAATAACGCACCTCACGATACCCTCCCCCCTCTTGTCTTGCGTAATCTACGGATGGCCCCGTATGATAAGGGGCCATAGGTAAGGGCCTTATCTATGAGTAAAATTCCATACTTACTGAACATCCAAACTTTGAATTCCCGCTCTTCCTGCAACCATCCTCCCAACGTGTACGAGAATGCGGGCGGTGTTATCAGCATGGCAATTACACCAGCTAGCTGTAAAACCTTGTCCAGCATTTTTGTTTTATCCCAGAGATTTCTTAAAATCCAATTTATTGCTTTCTCATATGTGAGAGGAGAGAGAAGCAGTTTGCTAAAGGAGTGAGGATGCACTGAAGAATAAAGTCACTACTTTTAACATTCAAGATGGTCCCTTAGTGGAGATGTGTTAATAATTCCTTTCCCCAGGTTTCCAAGAAGTGGCGAGGGTGATGCTACTATTTTTAACTCTTTTGGATAAATCCACCTCTTTCCTATGGCCTAATATTTAAGGTAACCGGAAAAAAGGTACGGAAAAAATGGTCTCGGAAACATGGGTATGAAAAAATTAAATGCTCTCAAGCCCTTTCTTGCCTTTTTAATTCCCATTACTACGTAGATTTAACAATTTTAAAACCTAATACAAAGTTTTCAATTAATTGATGAATAATCACATAATACAAAATCATATCACTGATACATATGATAACATCCTAATAATTACAATTGGTATTACATCAGGGAATTCCAACCGTAATTATAAATTATATCTGTAATAAAGATAACTCTAAATTGAAATTCAGTCAACAAATGTTCCTATTCAACTAAATACGTTACGAAAAATAATTTGTCCAAACCTGAACAAAAAAAGCTTTAAAATATAATACTTCTCAGAAAAGGAGGATAAAGGGTTAGTTAGGCTAGGTAATTTATTTTGCATATGATAAATTCCAAATCACTTTCTTGTATCAATTATGTACATCTGCAGTATGGGTTAAATTAATTCGGCTTAGCCATCAAGGTTTAGTTTTACAGTAAAACTTGCATATGTAGTAAAACTTTTACTAAATATGCAATATCTTGAGTTAAACTCAGCATTACAAAAACCACTAACGCAGACTTATCTAATGTACCTATCACTACCACTTCACAAGATACATATAACATCCTTATACCTACATACAATTTAACCGTTAAATATTACACATATGCCTTAAATAAATCATTAACCGACTCTATCTGTGCTTGAATACATGATAACTCGGATGGGATCACGCAGTATGAATGTTTAACAAAAAAAATTCTTACACTAACATCCAGAAAAAGTTAAAACATATTTCATCATCCTGCAAAATTTTTTACCAATTCTTGCAATTATTGTAATAGCTTCATTTTGACGTTGGGTATGCCAAACCAAAATGATATCGTGCCGACATTCTTGACATGACGCGTGATATCATTTAATGGTCGTTCACTCATCTCATATACTGGTCCAGCTACACTTTCAGCTTCAGTCCTACATCGATTTCTACTTTAATAACATCACCTCGCTCCTCCAGCGATGGAATATTGGTCGGTTAAGTAAGGCCATTCACAGCTCGAGGTGCGTGCACATACTTTATAAAACAAATCTGTTATTAAAAAATGTGGCGTAATACGTCTTCATTGTATTTCTAGGAAATATCTGACACATCTCAAATCCATCCAACTGAACATCAAAAAATTTCATTAGGTAATACTTCGTCCTACTAATTATAAAATGTTCTACATCCGTGCCCCATTGTACTTAATTATAGCTAAATACAATACAAAATACAGGGTGGACATAGAACACTTTGGAATTAGCTCGATTGGCAAATAATTTTGAATTCTTGATAGGGTTGACTTTTTTTAATCTATAGAACCAAGGTGACGCATCCTTATGCAAAACGGCAGTCCAGACCCTGTCGTTTCATTCGATTCACAGAATGAAAACGATCCAGGTGCCCAAAATGAAGCTGAGGAATTACAAGAAGCCATGACATCACCCATAGTTGACTTTACTCATCAAGACCTGGAATCCAGTCTATCTCCCGGAACGCTACACCTCATCCTGGATGACGACATCCTTGTGGACAACCCACGAATGGCTGCACTCCAAGCTGATAAACTCCATCCTGTAGATAAGCTCCAACCCGTAGATAAGCTCCAATCTTCAGACAATATTTGTTCAACTCCACCACAACCAATGTTACCAAAACGGGGGAGAGGTAGGCCTAAAAAATTGGACAAAACAACCCAGCCCAAAATCAGAGCACCAAAAATGTATCAAGTAAAGTTTGCAAAAGTTTTGCCTTAAGTTACTAGGTTTGCCCCACAAAAATCAATTATATTTATTTGCGTCCAATCATACGTACATATATCATACCGTCTATCATGCGATGCTTCAGAAGTTGCGAATACTATAAATACTTTTAATTCCATTTATGATTATTCATGTAAGACACGCAGGTCCTTAAGAAATCTTCCTCTCAAACACGTTATTTGATCCGTCAAATCGGTCTACTTTAAACTTTTACTTTACCACGCTAGCATAAGTCACCTATGGCGCCACGCCACCGAAATTTTTTTGGCGAATCGTGGGGACCATAAGGGAGGTCACTGGTAACGTGGGGACTATAAGGGGTTGCGCCCCAGTTTGTTGTATGTAACGGCTGTGCAGTTGTAATGGGAGTGGTTGATTTTTTTCAAAATTGAGAGAACGCGCACGTAATTCCGTCCAAGTGAATGAAAACAACGTTCAAATCTCGCACCTATAACGCAAATATCTCAATTGTCCCCAAAAAAAGTAAATAATCCGAGGTTGGGCATGCAGGTAGGGAAAGAGAAAGGCTGCCCTTTCCTTCGTTGGTAGATGGTATGGAAGTAGGGAAAGTGTTGCGTGGAAAATATAGAGGTAAAAGTTTATTGCTTTAAGAATCTATTGATGGACATACATAGATGTATAACTTACTTTCGTAAATTACGCCTTAATTACATTCTGTAGCCCGGTGTTACGCGGGCTTATTCGCTTGTCCATAATATTGCTTGGTACCCATTGAAACAAAAGTACTTGAATTAATGCAATAGACATATCGAAATACTTAAACGACAATATGAAGTGTATATTCAAAACATAAATTCGTTTTCGATTGTTTGGCAGTAAATCGAGTTCACGGAAATATCCATCATACTTGAGAATGTCTTAATTTCTAAAAACATAAAAGGACGTAAAAGCCACTGCTCATTGATTTTTTAATCACCACTCATGAATACAGACAAAGTATTAATGTACAAACTCCGTCACTCATTTTACCCTACCCAACATAACACACGGCTTTCTAATATATATTATTTTGTAGTTTTACAACTCACTGTCAAAATATTGGCCATTTAAATAACTAACCAAAATACTGCAGCGAAAGAAAGTACGACTTTATTTTGCATACTAATATTAACCTTACTTCGAAAACTAGTGTACACAGAAAATTTTTGTGTATGCATTTCCGGTTTTGTTTTTATTTTAGATTTGCCTTTGAAATCTATATAAAATATAATCTAATATCGTATAATATAATCTAAATAATGGATCCTGGTCTTGTAAAGTTAAACTTATTCAACTCAGTTCACGATATTTTTTCGCATTGTACCTTAGCATTGATATTGACCACTAAGCCGGTTAATCCCATCATTCCCGTACATCCTTTACTGATATATTACGCAATCCTGGAGTTTCCGAAAGATATGAAAACTCGCCATAAGCGGGTTTCATTCATACGACGAAAACATCCAACGCAATACTGTTGGACGTATGTCTTCACCAACATATTGGACAGTAAGAACGGCAAAAAGATTCCAAGGATAAAGGATTTATTATCAATTCCCATATTTCACATGAAATCTGCGTGCTATATGCAATTACTTTGGATAAGCTTCAATATCCAGGTGAATCAAGGTAGTCATCTAATCTACCAGTAATTACAAGCATTGCATATTAGTTACTGGGCTATGTATGAGATTTATTTTGTTACTGAAACTTTAACGTTTCATCATGTAAGTCCTTACTACAGGCAACAGAGTGGCACAATACCGTCCCAAGTATTCAATAGATTAGGAAAAGTTTATACAAAAATAAGTTGCAATTTTAAGACTGAATGTTTTCAATCCCTTAAAGATATGTCGGACAGCATTTCAAACCGTTTAAACAAATTTTATTGGACTAACCTGAACTGGATGGTGTATACTAACTTTAAACTCATGTACAGGAAATCATTCATTAAAATGCAAGAGATATACTTTTCAAAACAACAACACACTAATTGGATTATTGTGGCAAACAAGTCTGAGTCATTTCATGATTTTGTGGCTTACACGATATTCTCCGAGATAATGTTTAATGTTACGCTACTGGTGAATGAGCAATATGCATATTTTTATAACGAACCAGAACCAATGCGATATCTTTCCAGCGGTGAACAACACATAATTGTCGAAAGCCGGTCATATAATTTTCTATCATGCTATGGAGTTGAACGCGGAAAGTCTTATTCCGTTTTCATCGATCCCTTTGATATATACATATGGATTTCAATTGTTACTACGGCATTTTCATTTATGGCGATGTCCTGGATTCTGCAAAGTTCAGATGAAGTGTTAAATTTTAACATAGTTATTATAGGTTTTGCCGTACCATTGGAAATATCGGTTTCCGAACTTATGAAAGCAACTCTTTCACCGAAAAAAATCCACAATATATTTTGGTTATGGGTCGTGTCCAGTATTGCGTTAACTTCGTTCTACAAAGACGTATTCACAACGGAAATTATTCTACCGTGCAAGCGAAGTCTTACCTGGGCGCATACCTACGAGTTGGAAGAACACGGATTCCAATTCTTCTTTCCCATTCCGCCTCACGAAAAAATATTTTTGGAAATATATGCAAACGGCACACCATTTGAATATATTAGAAATTTGGAATTCTCTCGTGCACTCGCTGCAGCACGTGAGTATGTAGGTAAGTCTTTCCGGCTGTTGGGACATAAACGGTTTGCCGTCGCACTGTATGCGAGTGAAGGTGACACTGGGATACCTCGGATCTGGAAGGGTTTGCACTACAAATGGCCAGCCGACATATATTCGAATTTATCCAGTTGCGGGAAATTTGCTTACGTTGATGCAAGAGAAAATATTAAGCGAATAATTCCATTCCTAAACGACAACACGGACGGAACTGTCTTTATGGCAGGATCTGATGAAGATTTCCTTCTAATGCGGTATTCTATTCAACTACGACAAAGGTCGAAGTCTAATTTTGTTGCAAATAAGGTTAACTCACTCCAGGTTTCAGGAATATATAAATGGTGGGAGGACTGGTTTGCTAAACTGAGACCGAACAAGTTGTTTACGTATTATGCAAATTGGACTAGACCAACAGTAAGTGCGTTAGAGAAACTCGACTTTAGTTCCAAATTTGCTACAACTTTGCGAGTTTGGGGAATTTGTTGTGGAATTTGTGTAGCTGGGGGAACTGTAGAAATTTTGTTACATTTGTATACCACGTATTTAAATAGAGAGCCGATGAAGATTGTTAGAAAGGTTGTGAGGAGTGTTGTATCCGGCTTGCGTTAAGGATTTATTTGAAAATCTTAACTTGAGACCCTTATGGTCATATTCAATGGTATTTGACCAATAATAATAAGGCTGATGTGTTAAAAGAGTTTTTTTAATGAGTCATATTAATTACAACAATATGGCTGTGGTAGATCGGAAGGATAAATTAAAAAACCAATACATGGAAATAAGTGATGGCCTTTATTCTATTTCTATGGGGGACACACCATTGTAAAAAGATATAACGGGTGGCAATTATTTAACCTGAGAGATATAAGGATAATTGAAAAAATATCCAGAATAATCGAATCAGGAATAATTGAAAGCTGGCAAACATTTCGAACTTATTCAATGGACCATAAGAACATAAAAAGGCACAAGAGAAAGTTTGTACTGCTACTGTTTAAAGGGAATATTGATGGGATAAGTATGGTTTGATTGACATCAGCATCAATTAATAAAAATTTGCGAATTTTCTTTTTTGATAAATCAAATAAGGCTTGTACAGTTAAAAAAACAATTACATCTGTATTGTCGATGCGGTTTAACTATATCAAGAGTATTGTTTCAAATATGTAAAATGTAATCAAAAATGATTTTTCTCGTTTTAGTAATTATTTGGTAGTTTTGTATAGTTTGCAAGCTGCAATAAATACTTACAAACAACTTAAAGTTTGGGGATTTTTCATGAAGCATTGTAAATACAGAACTAATTTAACTAATTTGTTGCTAATTTACTGATCACGAGCATTTGTTGGTCGACCAAATTCTCAAGCGCTGGGAATTAATCTAATTTAATGACTTTATGAGTTAATCCCTTATTTAATCAATTGTATAACTAGTACTGATTCAACTGATTGTACATATTTAATCGCAATACAGTTACTATTAGGTAAGCAGTTCCATAGAAAATACTAAAATTTACATAATTAGAATTAAAAACTACAGTAACTTTAACGAATATCGGTTAGACTTAAATTATAATACCATGCTGCCTACAAACCCTCTTTGTTTCAGCCGGCACTTTTAGCTTGGCCCTGGCTACATCCGGTGCTTCAACAAAAGTGAGCGCCATTCCGGCTAAATTATGCCAATCAATATGACAATGGAACGCCCACACGCCCGGGTTATCAGCGATAAATTTAATAACCAACCAGCTAAACTCTTGTACCATCACAGTATCCCTTCTGATGCCGTTTCGATTCAGCTTATGTCTTTCAGGCGAGTAGTCACCCTCTCCTGGTTCTCCTATACACGAAAATTTAACACAAAACTTGTAAAAATTCCCTAGAACCTACCTCCTGTTTTAATTTTTTTAACCTACCAGCTCCCATAACCCAAAAAGTATGGCCATGAAGATGCATCGGATGCAAACCAAACGAAGGATTATTAACGACCAACTGGACCACTTCGTTGTGTTCGATGTAGAGCGGGAAAGAGCTCGCCGGTAGTGGGTCATTCCGCATCATGCTTATCAACAGAGGCCTATCATGTGGCAGGGAGAAAGCGGAATTGTTGAATGCAACGTGATGAACATTGTTCGAGTCGGTCGTTCTCACTACGGTGACGACATACTCCCTATCCGTCCTCTGGGGCGCCAGCTTCCGGTCGTGTGGAACCAAATGTGAGTCATTAACCTGAATATAGTTCCGGATCAGGGACCTTACAATGTAGGAAGTGTAGTCGAAAGGCTCCACATCCATGGGAACAATCGTGATTTCACGATAACGTTCATCATTTGTGTAGACAATTAACCCCGTCACGAGTGGATTAAGAGCGGCAGCGTTTTCGTTAATGTTGTGGGGCGGACTGCCAATCAGATCTTCCCGGAGGATGGCTCGTATCACGTGTTTGTTGAAGCTCACACCCCCGACTTTTTTAAGTAGGAAGGAATATCGCTGACCAGGACCTAGAAGGAAAAAAATTAGGATTCCAACGATCTGAAATCTATCTTAATCTGCCTGACTGAAAACTAAGACCAACCGATAAAAACCGAATCGGGATCATCACTCCCGTAAAACTGCTGGGAAACCATGACATCCACCCCGTCCACCTCAATGGGGAGCAGCTTGGGCCCGTCAATTGCGAAATTAAAAGAAGTCCAGGCACTCGTGTTAATCAATCTGAGACGATAAATCCTTCCCGGATTCAGCTTGAACACGGGCCTCTGCTGTTTCTCTGCTGAGCAGGGTTTACTCGTAAATTCACAACCGTACTGCCCAACCCGTTCATTAAGACGGAGTACGGATAGGGCGGGAATCCTCCAGAACGGCTTGTCAGGAACCACTGCTCATTCTCTTTGGCCGACGTGTGATACCAGTCATTCAACGTAATGGTGAATTCCGCATCGTAGTTGTAAATCTTTCGCCCACCCTGCACTACAAGGGCCCCCCACAATCCTTCCGTGTACTGTGACCCCACATGCGAGTGGTACCAATACGTCCCTGTCTGACGTAGATGGAATCGGTAAGTTTGAGTCCCGCCAGCCCTAATGGGACACTGGGTGACGAATGAAGGCCCATCCTGGAACGGGGTACCCTTCTGATGGATCCCGTGCCAGTGGAGGGTCATGTTTTGCCCGTCTTGTATCCCGTTCGTCACTTCCACTACCATCGTGTCCCCCTCCGTCACATAGAGGATGGGCCCGGGGAAACGGTTGTTGATGGTTAGGACATGACCCACCGTCACTCCGTCTGGGGCTAGTGAGTTGTATGAGATGTGAAAGCGATGCTGTAGGATACCCGCACTACCGCTGTTTCCGTTTTCACCGGGAGGAATATCTGAAGTGTGCAGATCCACATTTCCAATTAATGGTACCTGGAAGTTACATAGTTGTTAGTCAACTGTGCCACCGTGGCAGATCAGGGTAATTTTGAACTAACACGACTAATGACATATGAAATAATGGTAAACCAACAAACAAACCGGTAATTGTTGTGGCGATGGGCGTTGTCTAGGTCGGGGCGTTGTTTCCTCACTTCTACTACTACCGCTGCCCACGTTCCGCCCACCCACCACCAATACACTCTTCACATTTAACTCCACATTGGCGCAGGTTCCACACGCTAATTGAAAATTTGTCGAGTTACTGGTTATCGTGCACAGCTTGGTCGGATGGAAGGAGATCCAAAATCCGTCACAGTTCCCAGTTTGCACTGATCTGGTATAAAAGTTCTCACTCTGCCCGCCCAGCACGGTGCACTGTAAGCTATTCGGATTTTCCCAATTCGTTCTTATCAAGACACGATTCACCGATCCACCACAGTTTGATGCCGAAAATAAACTAACTTCCAGCAGGGATGGGCTACCGACTCCCACCACCAACTTAACATTCGTAACTCGTTGAATAGAAGAGGTGGACACGGAGGTTTCCAATGCCCACTCACGCGGAGTTGAACCTCTCTGGGCAGGCGTACTCGAAGGAGTACCGCTGGAAGCCCGGCTTCGGTTAGAATTTGAATTTAAGTTTGAATTTAGGTCAGAATTTGATTTCGTATTTGAAGTTGGCGTCAATATGCTTATCACGGATAGTTCGACATCGGTACAGACTGTGGAACAGCTGATGTTGAAAGTGGTGCCGGTGGTGTCGCAATAGCGTTTCGAGGAAATACTCACTTTTCCCTGGCAGGAATTTCCTCCATCACTACCCGCCACGGAAACCGATCTCGTTTTAAATTTTGCCCTATCCCCCTTCAGCTCGGTGCATTTGAACGGATTATTAGTCCAATTTTCTGGCGGGATTTGAATCCTGTTCGCATCCCCCGTGCAACCCATTTCATTAAAGAGGTTCACTTGGAAATCTCCTCGCACTGTGGCGTAGATTAAAAGAACTATGGAAAAGTTTTTAAGGGACATTGCGATTCAATTAATTTGCAGATCAATCCATGTGTATCTGTTCATTTAATCAATCCTAATCGTGGACTGATGTCTCCAAACGTGCAACTCTAATATTTTTTTAGGATTACGTGGGAATAAAGTAAAATAAAGTGATTTTATGGGCCCAAGTACGACTGACGCTGACTTATGTATTGTTAAATATGGACGCAGTGCCCACGGACATTATCCCCATAGTTATTTCATGTGCCTCTAGTTATTTATATGAACCCCACCTATCCAATGGCGATAATGTACCCCGATCTCCCCACAACAACCAAGTCCACTGTACGAAGTAATCAATTCAAAGACAGAATGACTTGCAGTTGTAAAAATAAAGGTTGTTTTTTTGCCATCTTATATTAAAACATATTCTGAATAAATTATTAATTTGGAAATCATGCATATGTACCAAATCTATCGTCACTGCAAAGGAATTTTCTGCAGACATGTAGGGATGTATGAACGAATGCATATGTATCTCTATTTGTACAAACACAAAATGTTTCAATCTCAAGTTGTGCTTGAGTGAGGAATGTAAAAATCATCAATGCAACTTACGCTGGTGAAGGTGTTAAGTTGAGTCGTGATTTCGGCTTACTTTTCTTTTACTTCATGTCATGATTTCACTTGATAAAAACCAATTGAACCATTACACTAAAAACAAGACAAGCACCTTTATCTACCTACCACATACATAGGTAAAATATGGCCCAAAATGATCAAACGCGGATAGCTTGTGTTTTTGCATGACTAAACACTTTCTATGAAATTATCTCTCAAAGTTATGCATTGCTTTTATAGAGTCCTAAAGTCAACATTAATTTCTTCCACTAAAATTTGATAAAATGGAACAAACTCGGATAAATTACAACAAATTTCAAATTATTTAATCAATACATTGTTCTTATACAAACCAATTTAATAATTAGCATGCACATATTTATTCGTTTGAGAAAATTGGAAAAATAATCAAAACTGTTTAAAAGTGTGCATATCTGTTACCTACCAAAAGGCTAAAAATTTCATGGGGATGATAAATATGAAGTCAGAAAATAGTAATTATCTAGGAAGGAAATTATTTTCCACCGTACATAAGTGAATACATGGGCAAGCTTCTCTTCCAGTTTGGGACACCAAAATTAATTTTTGCCATTTTACCCACCTATCCTGGGAAAATCGGTTTTTGCACTCAAAACCGCAAAGGTAAACCCTGCTTCACGGGTTTATCTATTATATAATGCTTCTTCATGGTTTGATGGATTCACAAAAAAAATTTCTCAGACATTCTGATCAAGTAAAGTTACCAGAAGGTTTGTGGAGTGGGATGAGTTGGCAAAATACGGATGTAAAGAGCAGCAATTTACGTTGGAAATGATATTAACTTATTTTCTGCGAATAGAAGATTAAGTACAAGTCCTCTCGAATTAAGTGGTGTTACATGGATTTTAATATACCTATTCTTAACGTTATGTACATAAATAAGTTTTCTATAAGAGAACTAAATTTGAGTTGTGAACTTAGATTTAATAGTTCTTTGAAAATTTTGTCCCAACCCTCATAACTTAGCTTGTCACAAAACATTTTGTTGTGCAATAGTCTAATGTATTTAAAATTATTTAAAAACTAGCTATTAAGCCCGTCTTAAAGACGGGCGAGACTAATGCATATGCTTAATTTAATTATATAATTTACTTCATCTATATTATGATTCCCAAGACTTGGTCCGCCCATGCTATGACTTACTCTGGCATTCCTGTATTCTGATTTTTTGTTGGCATTCTCACATAATCACAATCTTTGAAACAATTTTACGACCATAAGATTTGTATTTTTTGTGTAAACCCAAATGCAATACAATAATTCGAAATTTGTTAAATTGTAAAAATAGAAAATAGTAAACTTGCAAAATCGTAAAACCATAAAACCATAAAATCGTAAAATCGTAAAACTATAAAACCTTAAAATCATAAACCGTAAAACCATAAAACCGTAAAACCATAAAACCGTAAAACCATAAAACCGTAAAACCGTAAAACCGTAAAACCATAAAACTGTAAAACCGTAAAACCATAAAACCCTAAAACCATAAAACCGTAAATAACAAAATTATAAAATCATAAAACCGTAAAATGGCAAAATTATAAAATCGTGAAATCATGTTGCTATGTAACATTTTAGCCTTAGCAACGTCAAAAAATTCTTTAGTTGGATTCTTATTACACTGTTACGTAATTGGTTTAACGTTGCTAAGGAATTTGTTTACGTTTCTAAAGAGTATTTTAACGTTGCTAACCGATTTTTAACTTTGCAAAGGAAATTGTTTAAAGTTGCTAGTGAATTTTGTTAAACCTTGCTTATGAATTTTTTCTACGTTGTTAAGCAACTTTATTGACAATACGACCAAATTAATTTAACGTTGCTAAGCATTTTTTGCCCGACCCAGGGCTTATGTACCCGTGTTGTCCGTCTGTCCGTCCGTTCGTCCGTCCTTCCGTCTTTCGATAGCTCTCTTTAAACTTATCCGATCGACTTGAAATTTGGCTTACACTTAGAACATGCAAAGCTAGGAATCAAGTTCGAAGATGGGCTTGCTCGGTCAAGTGGTTGACCGGTGGGAGTCATTTTAGTGGTGTGGGTCAAGGGTCAGAATATTCAAAATAGTCATAGAAGGCTGAAATTTGGTACAGAGGTAACTAATGGGTCCTAACAGAAGAATCTAAAATTGGAAAAATTTTCATTTGGATGAACCCTGTAGGGTCACCTATACCGATTTTTCAAAATCATCTAATAAAGCCTAACTTTGGTACAGAAGTTGTTAATGGGTCTAATGATAGAATATGAATGTGAAGTTGAACAAAAATTACTTTAATGGAACCTATAGGATGACCCATACAGATTATCCAAAATCGTCCAATCGAGTTGAAATTCGGTATGCTGGTACCAATGAAGATGCATAATAGTACATAATATGAAGCCAAATTGTTGAATTTGTATTCCAAACCCTGGGTCGGGCTCCGCAAAGCTGTACTTATAAGTTTTTATGGTTTTACGATTTTATGGTTTTATTGATTTTACGATTTTACGATTTTAAGCTTTTAACATTTTAAGATTTTCCGATTTAAGGATTTTCACATTTTAAGATTTTACGATTTTAAAATTTTACGATTTTGAGATTTTACGATTTTAAGATTTTACGATTTTACGATTTTAAGCTTTTAACATTTTAAGATTTTACGATTTTAACATTTTAACATTTTAAGATTTTCCGATTTTAGGATTTTCACATTTTAAGATTTTACGATTTTAGAATTTTACGATTTTGAGATTTTACGATTTTAAGATTTTACTATTTTACGATTTAAAGATTTAAAGATTTTAACATTTTGCGATTTTAAGATTTTGCGATTTTAGGATTTTCACATTTTAAGATTTTACGATTTTACGATTTTAAGATTTTACGATATTAAGATTTAACGATTTTAAGATTTTACGATTTTAAGATTTTACTATTTTACGATTTAAAGATTTAAAGATTTTAACATTTTACGATTTTGTAGTCTAAAGAGATCATCATTATCATTAGCATTCTTAAATTCCAGTGCTGCTCCCTGATTGGCTAATCCAAAATGTGGGCAGCCAATCGGAATGCTGGGATGTCACGGAAAGTTATAACATGGGATCTTACGGGACCAACATCTTGAAATTATAATATAGATAAACCCCAAGTAGCCATCGGTTAATTTTCTGTTATTTTCTTGATATATGTATACGTTTTGCCACGGGTAATTAATAATGGCTAGACATATGTACATAAGCAATAATTGCAGGAGTACAACTACGAAAGACATTTCCTGTTTGTATTAAATATGTCTGCAGATAGAAATTTGCTAATTAATTTTTATTGTTATTTTCCATAGTAAAGTATTGTTCGCAGAGTTCAAATAATAGTTTAAATTAAATCGTGTCCATGGCAACCTACTAAATCCGTATCAATAATCGTAAAAAAAATCGTAGAAATTCACACCAAAATACATCTAAAAAA